TCTCAGTTGCAACAACAGTTCCACATGAAGGATCTTGGATCTCTTCGGTATTTCCTTGGTCTAGAAATTTCTCAAGGCCCGCGGGGTGTATTACTGTCTCAACAGAAGTATCTCTCAGATATTCTAAATCAAGCTGAGTTAACTGATAATACAACTGTCGATACTCCACTCCAGCAGAATGTCAAACTTTGCTCTACTGACGGTGAGCCTCTATCTGATCCTACCCGATATCGACATCTTGTTGGTCAGTTGGTCTATTTGTGCATCTCTCGACCAGATATCTCTCATGCTGTTGGTATTGTCAGTCAATTTGTTAGTGCCCCACGTTCTGTACACTATGCTGTCTTATTACGGATTCTTCGGTACCTCCGGGGTACTAGCACTCGCTCACTTTTGTTTCCTGCTACATCTAAGTTAGAGCTTTGTGCATATTCTGATGCTGATTGGGCTGGTGATCCAACTACCAGAAAGTCTACCACAGGTTATTGTATATTTCTTGGTGATTCCCTTATTTCCTGGCGAAGTAAGAAACAAGATGTTATTGCTCTTTCCAGTACTGAGGCAGAGTATCGTGCAATGTCCACAACAGCTAAAGAGATTATTCATCTTCGTCGCCTTCTCAGTGATTTCGGTATTTCTGTTACGACTCCTACTCCTCTCTACTGTGATAATAAGAGTGCCATCCATATTGCTAATAATCCAGTATTTCATGAAAGGACCAAACATATTGAGATCGACGCTCATTTTGTCCGTCACCAAGTTATCAAGGACAAGACAATTCTACTTCCTCATGTTTCATCCGCTGACGAGCTTGCAGATTTCTTCACAAAGGCCTTACCTGTTCATCGGTTCCAGTTTCTTGTACGCAAACTCACTTTGTTTGATCCAACATGAGTTTGAAGGGGGCTGTTGATAATAGTGTATTGTAGTGGGTTTTAGTCCCACATTGCTTGGGAGAACAAACCTCACACTCCTCTACTTGTATAAATATATGTGCACACTCAATATTCAATTCAAGGGAAATTTACCCAAGATTCTCTCTCTCTCTCTCTCTTACTTTAACAATGATAATATCTCAAGGAGGTTGGCGAAAATAGGAATGAAGCTTTGCGCGATCAAGTACAAGATCAAGCTTCATCCGCAATCAAGACGAGCTTTATTGAAGATCAATTACTTGGGTATAGTGTTTTAGGTTTATATTTTGTGTGGTTATACTTAAAGCTCAAATTATACACACACATTGCTTTCGTTTCATTGTTTTCGTTTTAAGAAAATAATGTATTTTGAGAAAATAACATGTTTGTGGATTATTGAATTAGTGATACTATTTTACATATTCTCATAAGTCTAAAATTCCATTCAAAAGAATTTTTAAGCTTGTTTGAAATCGTTTCATCAAAAACTAAGTGTTTGACGTTTTCGTATTTTCAACCGGTTTGCAAAATAAATGAGTTTCTCATAAATGGGGAATGCAATTTAAATTTTTTTTCTAACATGTTCTATTATATTTTTATAACCATTTCTCAAAATTTATCATTTTTGAAGTTGATTTACTATGTCAAATTGATTTTACAAAATCAAGTATTTCAACAGTTTTTAGAATATGTAATATCTATTTTAAAACAATGATTTCTCACAAATGGGAAGTGATATTTCAGAAATTCTTTCTCTAACATGTTTATCTACATGTTTAAAAACTTTTCTCAAATTTTCATGATTTTTGGAGTTACTTTACTATTTTTAATCGATTTTAGAAAGCCAGATATGTAAAATTCCAGAAACTACCAAAAGCTGAAACCGTCGACTTTATAAGTCGACTTACACCTGTATTAAATTGACTTATAGTGTCTTTTCAGCCTATAATGGCTAGTTCCGATTTTTTTGGGTTTTTTGGCTAGTTTGGGAGGCTATAAAAAGCCCTCTTCTCTCATTATTTTGTCATGGATGTTTAAGGGGGTTTGAAAAGAGTTTGTTTCAAAATTTTAAGTGTATTTAAGTTTGGTTTTCAAGTTGGTTTATGTGAAGAAGTTTACATAAGAGGAGGAGATCAATTCTTTGGTGTTTGAGCTTCAATCTCTCATCTCTCCCACTCTTGTTTTCAGAGAAGTTTTCTCTAAACTCAATTTCTAGCTTTATATGTTTATATTTGTTGATTATTCATTTCATTAAGCTAGATTTTAGTACGAATTTAGTTTTGTTATTCCTCATTGATCACACACACCACCTTAAGCTTTTAGTATTTCACATTAAGTATAATTTGGTTGTGGTGTGAGATTGTATCATCGAGTGTGAGCTTACATTGAGTTTTCATCTATTGTAGAGAACAAATCTTTTTACTTGAGCTTAATTATGAGATACACTTTGTAATACATTTGTACACCGAGAGGAGCGTGTGGTAAGAGATGGGGTCAATTCCAAGAGGAGTGGGGTTGGTGGTAAAGCCTAGTGAGATGTAGTAATTTTATACACTTAAGGAAGACGGCACGGGCTAGACCAACACTTAGAGGGTGTAGAGTGTGATTGTAAGTGTGTAAGATTGTGAAAGTTTTTGGTGAGCTAGAAAATCGATTGTGAGGTGTAAATATTTTGGGTGAACGTTGAAAACCCTTCGTGATAGTGGATTCTCCCCGAGAGTGGGGAGCAGAGACGTAGGTCGGAAGGACCGAATACCGTGATCATCTTTGTGTGTTTGTGTTGGTTATTTGCACTATCTCATTTGTATTTTAGTTTATGTTTATATCACCCTTTTTTTATTTTGCATATTCTTGCTCATAATTAGTTGTATATCATACTTGCAAGAATTTATTGTTAATAAGTTTTAAATTGGTATTAAATCGGATTAGATTAGCACATTACCCTATTCACCCCCTCCAGGGTAATTTCAAAACACACCATGATTCTATTTTTTAATTCTACTTGCAATTATATTTTAAAATAGAATTATGATGAGTTCAACATTAAATCAACAAACATTGAAGGGCTAAAATATGCTAAAATTAGCTTGCGAGTGTCATATTGAAAATTTCAGGAGAAAATTCTCAAGTTGCATAGCTCGATATATCAAAATGCAAATTTTAGAAACTCAAAGGGTTATAAGTGCTGCAAAAATAAGTGATGGTATGTAAGTACCAAACTAGGAGAAACTATATGTACAAAACTAGGAGAAACTATAGGGAACTTAAGCACTAATTAGCCTGTCATATACGCACATTTTACTAATTATAGATGCAGATACCAACGCAAATATAATTGATTAGAAAAAAAATCTTAGATCTTTTCAAATTAGGTCGATACGGATCATATGTAAGACATATATGAGCAAAATAGAAAGATAAAAAATTATAGATTGTGCGAATAATGATTAAATATAATAAAGTTCTTAAATGTGAGTCAAGTAATACGTTTGACATATTTGAAAAGCTAAATTGTACTCTGTGTGATTAAACTGACCTAAATTCGTTATCCAATCACTTGAATAAGGTTCGATAGTATTGTTCATATATACATTCGAATATTGATGAAAACATTGTACATGCATTCATATTTATATCATATGGAATATTGGCATCCGTGTACGTATATTGCTTAATTCATATACAAATATATACAAGTTATCAACATAAGTTTTACATCCCTGAGGCTATGTTTGTTTCGCAAAGAAATTCTGGAGAACACTTGAAAACCCTCTGATATTATCAGGAAAAAAACTTTGGTATTTTTAACTCTTGCTATTATTGTGTTTGGTTCACCACTCAATCTGTAAGAAATTTTTTCTTAAAACGTGGGAAATGCTCACTTTTTTTATTGGAATAAGTTCGGCTCAATTTTATAGAAAAATTGAGCGGAAGAGAATGGAAAGTGAAATGTAATAGTGAAATAATAAAGAGCTGATAAAATATAAGAGTTAAATAATAAAAAAATATTTTCAAATATTTTCTTATTTTTGGCTTTTAAATCAAATATAAGAGAGTGTAATGGAAAAGATTTCCTCCCCATGCTTCTTATGACAAAACAAAAGCACAAGAAAATGCTTGAAAATAATTTTTACCATCCTTTTCCATTTCCTATTTTTTAAGGAAATGAAAAAAACACGCCCCACTTTGGGCTGTTTGGTTATTGTTGGTAAAGTTGTGTTTTTATGACACAACTTGGAAAGTTATTGTCCACCTCATCAATTACACTTTTATACTTTTCTTTGTTTGTTTTTGATTCCATTGGAATCATAAAACACTTGTTTGGTTTGCAAAATAAAACTTTAATTATTTGTTTGGAAAGTGTAAAAAGTGGTCCCTACTCAAATGATCATATTGGTTGGAATTATTTTTTATTATTTTTTCCTAACTTCAATGTTAGCTTTCTCCTAAAATCATGACTTTTTTTCATAAAATCACTTTACAAGCCACATCAGCATATGAAATCACTTTACACTATTTTCATAACTACAAACAAACAATTAAAAGTGATGAAAGCTGACATTGGGACCCATTTTTTTACACTTTACATCCTTTTACATGGTAAAAACATACAACCAAACAGCCCCTAAAAAGGGGGAGAAAACGGAAAGCTATTGATTTGGTTAATTTGAAGGAAAATGAAGGGTACTATCGTCTTTCTTTATGCGGCAGCGCAACCGAGATACCCAAAGAGAGTCTGACTTCATAAAGACGCCCGTATAAGAACTACCCTACGAGTCCTTCACCGTACGTTTCATATTCCAACGTGTCAAAATCCCCTTCCTCCGTTACTTTAATCGTACGTCCAACCAGTCATCTCCACAGCGTTTCGTCTCTGTGCGAGCCTCATACCGAGACCAGCACTCGGTAACCGATGTCTGAAGACAAAACCACAGAAACGAAAAAGGAAAAGCAATTAATTAAACGAACACATAAACTGGGCCCACTATTCAGAGAGGTGAAAAGCTGGGTGCCCGTGACAAAAGAAGGAGAATGTTCAAGTAATTAATAGATTATTATATATAAATATAAATGAATAAGCAGGAGCAGAGATGGGCTGTCGTCTTTTCTCTCCTGAGAGCACAAAGAATAGATTTTTCTTTGCAGCTAACTTTCCTTTTTTATTCGAAATTTCCCCTTTTCATTTTTAATCTTTTTTTGTTCTATTTTGGGGGCTCGTTGTTATCCTCTGCTTTCTTTAGATTAGAAAGCTGTGATTTTGATGAAGACGATGGTTTGAGGAGGCTGAAGGGGATTAGGGTTTGTTTGGTTAGGTTTAGGGTTTACTCTGCGAGAGGGGAATCATGTCGCAGGCTAATTGGGAAGCTGATAAGATGTAAGAATCTTTTTTACTTTTCTTGCTTTATTTTTTTTAGTTCTCGGTGGTTTTCTTTTTAGTGTTTTTAGTGGTTATTTGAGGGTTGTAGGTAGGGGTTTGGAGATTGAAAAGAGATTGTTTCTAGTTCTTCTGTGGTTTTCTGATCTGGGTTTTTCTTGTCTGTTCTGTTTCTTTTATCAAAAAAATGGTTTTTGAGGGGTTTTTAACGTCGTATTTTTGGGTTTTATGTCTGACTTAGCTTGTAATTTGGGATTTATTTGATTTAGGGTTTGGCTCTTTTATTATTTTTGTTTGTTGATACTGCGGTTTTTAGGTGGTTATAGCTTTTGTTGTTGTAATGTGTCTTTGTTAATAACTTGTGCAAATCTTTGCAATAATGTTCTTTTGATATTTGTAGTTTTTGATGCTAGTGTTTCTCATTGCATATAGTCTTTGTTCTTGTCATGGGATATAATATTGTTTTCCAATGGTTGAAAAAGGTTGGATGTCTACATCTATGATTATCTAGTGAAGAGGAACTTGCAGCAATCTGCAAAAGCATTTCAAACTGAAGGGAAGGTGTCTTCAGATCCTGTGGGTGAGTAACTGAACAGATAGAGAGCTGGGTTTTTGGTAATTTTGGGGTATACTGATGTTTTTGTTCATGCTTCAATGGCTAGCTATTGATGCTCCTGGTGGTTTCCTCTTTGAATGGTGGTCTGTGTTTTGGGATATTTTCATTGCTAGGACCAATGAGAAGCACTCTGATGTTGCAGCATCCTATTTAGAGGCAAGTGCCCCCCCTCCTCTCCCTCCCTCCCTCCATCCTCCCTCCTCCTATTTCTGCTTGCATTGAGTAGTTTATTTTGGAGGAGTTATAATCTTGAATTATTCATGTTCACAGTGTATGCTGCTTTTATTTTGTATGTTTTTACTAAAAAGCTAGCATTGGCGTTTTTGGTCATTGAGTTGAAAGGTAACCTTAGTAGTGTATATCTGACTATTTGTTTGCTGTGTTCATGTTGTTATTCCATAGTTGTGGCTGAAGGAGTGCATAGCTATAGGTTTCTTTGTTATGTTATATTTTCTTAAACTCATGCAATTGTTTTAGTTGATGGATTTGCCTTCTGTCTGCCTAAATATTGTTCCTACTCTTATCTCACAGTGATGGTATAGTTTTGCAATGAGATGAAGGTATTGATCTGTATCTTATTTGTTGCAGTGTGAATTTTTTTAATTTGAGCTTACTCTTCCACATTATAGTTAGTCATGCCATTCACCTCTCATATTTTCAATTAAATATTGCATTTGTCTCCAATATCACAGAGTATCTGGTTGGTAACAACCCAGCACTCTTCCATTTAGTTCTTTCAGGGGCTAATTACTCCGCTAACTATTATCCTTCTCTCTCTCTCTCTCTCCCTCTCTCTCTCTCCCTCTCCCTGCTTCCAACCAACTTCTCTTAGGGCTACCTGTAGTCCTTGTCCCATTGACTATCATATGGAGATAAAAGGGTTACGATTTTCATATCCTTCTTGATTGCTTCCTTCTCTTAGGCCTACCACTAGTTCCTCTTTGTCCCATTGATATATAGTCTGGAGATTTTAACTAGACTAGATAAAATCAGCCTGTTGAAAAATATCGCTTTGATGATTGTTTTAAGTTATATAGTCATTTACGTGGTCCAGTTGTAAAACATTTATCCCTGTTTGTGTTGTTTTTGAGGATACAGTGATTTTCTCCAGTTATATATTATTTTATCTCCCATTGTTTGCGTGCTTCTGTTTCATGATTTATATGGAGCGCACACACTTGCATTTGTAGCAGACTCAGTTAATTAAAGCCCGGGAACAGCAGCAGCAGCAGCAGCCCCAGAAGCAACAGCAGCAGCAGCAACAGCAACAGCAGCAGCAGCAGCAGCAACTTCAAATGCAACAACTTTTGCAGAGGCAGGCTCAACAACATCATCATCAGCAACAGCAACAACAACAGCAGCAACAACAGCAGAGAAGGGAGGGATCTCACCTTCTTAACGGATCTGCAAATGGCCTTGCTGGCAATGACCCTTTGATGCGACAGAACCCTGCAACTGCCAATGCCTTGGCAACAAAGATGTATGAGGAGCGACTTAAATTGCCTCTTCAAAGGGATTCTATGGATGAGGCATCTATAAAGGTATTTCTCTCATGATGATATCAAATGTTCTGAATTAAGCAATCCCTACGTGATGTAGATGGTATTAGATTTCCTTCAAAGTCTTTCTTAAATTTTGGTTTGGCCTATTTCAGCAAAGGTTTGGAGAAAATGTTGGCCAGCTGATGGATCCTAATCACGCGTCTATGTTGAAATCAGCTGTGACATCAGGGCAGCCTTCAGGGTACATTTCTCTTACTACTGTGAAATCTACTGCTAAGCATTTTTACTCTGCAGCTTATTAAGTGGTGCAAGTATTGTGTACTTAATTATATATGCTATTATCATTCACATGCTATTATCATTCACATGATCCCTCTCCTGTATGGATACATGTGCATGCTTTCGGGATAATGCCAGCAATGTTACATTAAACGCTGGGCACTTCTAGGCGTCAGACTTGGCGCCCAGCGCTTAGTCGCCTAGGCGGACGCCTAAGCGGTTTCTGGGCATTTTTTTCTTTCTTCATTTAAGTGGTGGTCGATGAGGTTTTGCTGAAGGCGCCTAAGCGGTTTCTGGGCATTTTTTTCTTTCTTCATTTAAGTGGTGGTCGATGAGGTTTTGCTGAAGGTCGGAGGAGGTAGTGAAGGTTTTTTTCTTTCTTCATTTAAGTGGTGGTCGATGAGGTTTTGCTGAAGGTCGGAGGAGGTAGTGAAGGTATTCATATTTGGAGGTTAATGGAGTTTGGAGGATGTGTAGACTACGACACATAAAATCACAATCAAGGCCTACAGGGTGCAATCCACGTAAGCAGACAATGTTCCCCTAAACGCTCGTAAAATCTAGGTGGGCAGTCGAAATACCGCCTAGGCGCTAGGCGCTAGTTAGGCGGTCTAGGTACCGCCTAGGTCTAGGCGTATGCCTAAGCGGACTTGGCGGATGTTTTTTAAAACAGTGAATGCCAGTGATGTCTGGAACATGCTGTATAACCCAACATGTTCTTTTGTTGTCTGTGAAGTAAGCTTATATTTTCAAAATAAAGCCAGGGTCTACTACATGTTATAGTTAAGTTTATTATGTCCCAACATGTTCTTTTGTTGTCTGTGAAGTAAGCTTATATTTTCAATACAAAGCCAGGTTCTACTACATGTTATAGTTAAGTTTATTATGTCAATGAGCTCGTGAATGCTTTTATGACAAGTGAAAATTTATTTTTCTGTTGTAATACCTCCAAACTGAGTTGATATGGTTGATGCTATTTTTCTTTCTGCTACTTGTAAAGCATACTGAAGTCCTACTCAACCTATTTAAGGGGTATACAGTTTTCTAAAGAGGCCTTTGACTGGGGGATTAAATTATATGATGGAGGTATGATAGATTTAGAGAGAATCCAAATTTTTGTAAATAAAATTTCCTCACATGCATCTGGGTCATAGATTGGCCATGCCCTAGGGCAAACTCTTAATTTTCTCTGTTATACTCTCCTAGTTTATGAACCTTAACTGCAACTTAATATCCTAAGGGAAAACACTCAGTTCTCAGTAGGAATCACACAATGACGCTTATAAATCACATATTAAAGAAAATCGAGACATATTTGGTTGTTAGGCTGGAAGAAGTTGCTGCCTTTTGCTGAAATTATTGTTGGTTAATGCTGAAGTATGTTTTTCTAACTTGAAATGATGTTGCTTATGTGCTTGTGCACTTCATCTATAGAAGTTTACAATCACAATACTGATATTTATTGCTGACATGCATAAGGATAGTAGATCACTGAGTGGAAAGAGATTTCAAAATATCACAAACCTCCTTTTTTCATACTCTTGCTCAGTTACCGTATAATGCTTAACTATATGTATAGAAAGAGATGCAATGATGACATTTCTTAATTGCATGATTGCCAAGGAATGTTAAAGATGCTTACACCTATATTTTGTTCTCTTATCACGTTCATCTGTGGATTTCTTCACTTTAAATTCTAAGATGCATTCTTGAGATATCTCTTTTAGGCAAGTATTGCATGGTTCAACTGGTGCTATCTCAGGAGCCATACAACAAGCCCAAGCAAGGAACCAGCAACTTCCAGGTTCTACACAGGTAATTTGGGTTCCATTGGATTGAGTTGATGGTGATTTTCTTTTTAGTGTTGATTATTGCTGATCTGACTGAAACTATGTCTCAGGATATTAAACCTGAGATGAATCCTGTGTTGAATCCTAGGTCTGCGGTTCCTGATGGCTCACTAATGGGAGTACCAGGTGATCCTACTTCTTTTTTTCTCGTCTTAGAATCTGCATTGAATTTGGGACGTGCAAAGAATTTTTATGATATTTTCTCCTGACTCCCATGAGATGAAGAAAGACTTCTGTGCTGCATCTCATATTATCAGATTTGTTTATTTTTATTTTTGGTAGCTACAAAAGCAATCTATAAATCATCATTTCACTTTTTGCAGGATCAAGTCAGCCGGGTAGTAATTTGACATTGAAAGGGTGGCCCCTCACAGTAAGTCTTCTGCAGAATATTGTTATAGTTTACCAGTAGGAAATTTGTTGTTAATACTGCAAACATGTTGCTTTTTATGTAATTTATTGTGGACCATTTTGTTATAATTAGATACGATTCTGAACTTTTCAGTTACGACTAGGTAATATATGGTATTTTCCTGCTTAGCTGTTTAGAACTTTATTTATTATGCTTGTGATTGTTAATGTTCTCTACGTATTTTACCTGTATTTCCCCTCTATTTTCATATGCATCTTTCTTCTTAGTACTGCAACTTTGATCCTTTTTTTATTTTCATTATGTACTTATTTTCCTTCTGATTCATCTATGTCTTTCATTTCTTTCTCACTCGCCGTGATGGAACTCTCTAGTTTTCTGGTTCATCTTCGTCTTCCATTTCTTTCTCCCTCATCGTGATGGAACTTGAGAGTTGATTTTGTTATGCTGAATAATTATTACTGTTATCTTTTATGTTTAGAAAGTAGGATGAATATTGGACGCATTCATATGATAAATGCTGATGTGTGATCAATTCCATGGGTCAAGAGGATTAAGCTCTCAATTTCTGTTCTTCGACTTGGGAAGGGAGGCTACTCAGCACTACATCTGACTTTGCTTTTCTGTCTATTTCTTTCCCTCCAATTATTAGCTCTTCAATGTTTTCATTTCGCATAATCTACACAGGTTTTTCCTAGCTTGTTGCTTTACTAAGTGTTACCTCTTTAACTTCATAATCTTACGACTGGTGACTGCCTATTTGGGTTTAAATACACAAGGCACCAATTTCTTATAAGAATAACCAATTCCGATATCATCCATATTGCTACCTGTCCTCTTGAGTAACTTCTATATCCTGTCACCCATCTCCCTTCTTTCTGTATTAATTTTACGTTCTTTTCTTTTCTATACGGTGTTAAAATTGTATCACTTCAACTCTTTTGCTTTAGTCTATTGTATATGGCCACACCTCTTGACTCTTTTAGTAAAAAGCTTCAATTTTGCTCTTTTTTTCCTTTCACTTTTATGGTCTTGATCAGCTTCGTTCAGGAATTCTTCAACAGCAAAAGTCGTTTATGCAGTCCCCCCAACCATTTCATCAACTTCAGTTTCTGACTCCACAGCAGCAGCAATTTCTGCTTCAAGCACAACAGAACTTGCCATCTCCGTCGGCGGGTGACATTGACAGCAGAAGGTTAAGAATGCTACTCAGCAACAGAAATATTATTCCAGGGAAGGATGGTCAGTCAAACTCTGCTGGTGACGTCATTCCTAATGTTGGATCTCCTGTGCAATCTGCGTGCACTGTTTCACAACGTGCAGATACTGAAATGTTGATTAAGGTGCTCTTCCCTTCATGAATTTTCCTGTCCTCTTGAAAGAATTTAGTTTTCCTGCTTTATGTTGGGGGTGTGGATCAATGAATAGCAGCATGTCTTGCCTCCTTTTGATTGTTTTTCTATTCTTTTCTTCCACTATGAATCCATCAGGACAATAGAGTGGGACATTATAATGTTTTCAGTCTAGAAGAGTGCTAAATCTAGCAGCCTATTTACTAATTTATTTTATAGGAATATATTTTGTTTGACAGATGGTACCTTTTGTGTATAATTGACAAATGTGTTTCTAGTGATATTTTTCTATTACGCTATACATATGGTCAATTATTATTCGACACAATAGAATAAACATATCCTCTCTTGTGCGCATCTATCCTTAGAGGGCACATCAAATACAATTTGTACTGGACATATTTAAACTGCCTGGTTTGTTTGGTGTTTTTTTGTTTGGTGTTTTTCTGTTCTAATTCTTGTCATCAAGCTGACATTGGCCATGTATGGCAAGTGACAACAAATAGGTCTTCTTGAACTTACCGATGCTCTAGATGTCACTGCAAATGTAGAGTAATCTTACATAGTTTTGAAAGTTTATTTTGTTATTTTCTTAGTTCGTTATTTTTTTTAGTTGAAGATAGCTCAATTGCACCAGCAGCAACAACAAGGTAACAGTCCGCAGCAGCAGCTTCAACAGGCAGGTATATCAGGTCAGCTGTCACAAAATTCAAATCATCATCTTCAACAAGAAAAGATTGGTGCTGGTAGCGTAACAATGGATGGTAGCCTCTCAAACTCCTTCAGAGGAAATGATCAGGTTTGTTTTCGATGGTAATGAACTTCTCTAAGATTGGTAACTTTTTAGTGGCTTCTGATGTGATGTGTTATGCTGAAAAATCTAGTGTTATTTATTACATGGTGATTATTCAAAATGGTAATCTTCCGAACCAGTCTGTTAGCAATGTGTGACCAAGCCACCCTCCTGTTTTTTGTTGAATGCTTTAGTAAAATATACCTTCTGTTTAGTTGTAGCTTTTGAATTCCAATTCGCTTAGAACATGGGATGGTAAACTTTTATATCTCGAATGTGCATTAGCTTTTTGATATTTCTACAGGACATTGCGTTTCTTTCTTTTTCTGTTTAAATGTTTGTATGGAACTTGTTTATCTACTTCCCACCGGTCTCTACTGGTGGCGGTAACCTCTGAATCATGTTTCAGCAGTCATTCTATAGTTTTGGAGTTAAAAGTAGTTGGTGTCAGGTTTATTTATTATAGGAGTTTAAGAAGGTGAAGTGATTCTTCAGAATGACCATAACTTGTTATTGACAAAGAAATGCGTTATCTAAGCATTCTCGTGATTTGTTCAAATTCTGTTTTCTTCATTTTCTTCATTTTCACAATTGAGTAATTTTGAAGCTACAACTTTGATGTGCTGTGTAGAACTCAAAGAACCAAACTGGGCGCAAGCGCAAACAACCTGTCTCATCCTCTGGACCAGCCAATAGTTCTGGAACTGCAAATACTGCTGGTCCATCTCCAAGTTCAGCTCCTTCAACACCGTCGACACACACTCATGGAGATGTTATTTCAATGCCAACACTGCAACATAGTGCTAGTTCGTCTAAGCCTTTAATGATGTTTGGTTCTGACGGGGCTGGAGCTCTAACATCTCCATCAAACCAGTTGGTTAGTATGCAATTCAGTGAATCTGATAATTCTATTGTTAATTGGAGATCTATAGCATGTATTGCTGCAATTCTAGTAAGTATTCCACCTTGTCAGTAGGATGATAAAGCCGTTGAACTGCAGGCTGATATGGATAGGTTTGTGGAGGATGGTTCGTTGGATGACAATGTGGAGTCTTTTTTATCTCATGATGACACAGATCCAAGGGATACTGTAGTTCGAGGCATGGATGCTGCTAAAGGTCTGTTGCCTCACTGTAGTGCTTAAAAGGGAAAATCTTGGCTTTTAAATTAGTATAAAATAGTGCTTAAAGTAGTATTTATCTCCAGTTAATTGTCACTGCTTTTCTGTTTGTTTTCAGGGTTTTCATTTAATGAGATTGGATTCACCCGTGCAAGTACTAGCAAAGTTGTTTGCTGTCACTTTTCATCAGATGGAAAATTGCTTGCCACCGGTGGCCATGATAAAAAGGTAAGTGATATATGATATGGCTTATCGAACTGTCAGTTATTACATGCTATGATAAAGTTTATCTGATTTCCTTTTCAATGTATAGGCTGTTTTGTGGTACACTGACACCTTAAAGCCAAAATCTACATTGGAAGAACATTCGTTACTGATAACTGATGTTCGCTTCAGCCCAAGCATGCCCCGTCTGGCAACTTCTTCTTTTGACAAGACCGTTAGGGTTTGGGATGCTGATAATGTAAGTGGCAGCTGGCATTTTATGCTTAGTGTCATTTCCTTTTTAAGTGGTCTTCTCTAGTGTTCTTGATTTTATTCATCCTGACGGTTATATTTTTATAATTCAATTCATTTGTGGATCTCTATAGTTTTTGAATTCTGATGCCATTTAACATTGTGTCAGCATTCTGCAAATTTTTGAAAATAGCGGCTTCAATTAATATTTTTGATTTTGCCTCTTGCTAATTAAAATAGTAGTACACAGACCAGGTTGTTTCAGCAATCAAATTGCAGTATGCTTTGTGGGAATGAAATTTTACTTTACCTTCGACACCAAGATAACCTGATAAATTAGCTGATTGTGCTTCCTCAATTCTTTGATTACCTTTACTGTTGACCGCCCTCGTATTCCATGAAATTCACAAGGGTACATCGTGGGTATAACTTTCTTCAACTCTAATCCGAGTCACTGTTTGTTGACGTTTGGATACTTGATCATGCATGAGTTGGAGTGCTGTGGACCACCACTTATTGTCAAGCAATTTTGTTCATTCAATCAGTTTTCTTCTTTCAATTGGAAAATATCTTTTTCTACTTCGTTTTGGTAGGTATTTAGACCAATATCTTATTCTACACCCTTACATAGGATACTTCATTTTTAGTTTTGGCCTACAAGCCATGTAGTCATAAAAAAACTTATATGCTTATAACATTCCCTTGGTCTTGCACTTTTGGGATACAACATCTGCTAAAAAGTTTCATGGTGTCTTCACTCGTTAATTATCAGTATTGAACATGAAATTCCACCAATATAATTATGATTTTTGTTATAATTTTACTGGAATTTTTTTCCATGATGATGGGATAGCCAGTATTCTCTTTGAAGAAATTATTGACTCGTTTCTAGGACAGTGGCTCCAGAGCCATTTCCTCCAGTGTAGGTCTAGTGCTAAATAAAGTAGGCCATCCTGCCTGCAGTCTAGTGCTAAATAAAGTAGGCCATCCTGCTACCTTCATCTTGTTTTATGTCACATTCAAGGTGTTATAATCTTTTACTGGCAATGTTTTAATCATCGTGCACAATTTTCCTTGGTTGAAGTTGGAGGTCCTGATGTTAGATTTTTCGAGAAGCTTAGATTATTATTTTTCTTTGTTTGTAAAGGTTGATGCTGTTATGCTATTATTTCTGTTCACAATGTAAACATTGAATGGATGGGCGTTTTTGCATTACAGCCAGGGTATTCTCTACGTACTTTCACTGGGCATTCTGCATCTGTTATGTCACTTGATTTTCATCCTACTAAAGAAGATCTGATATGCTCATGCGATGGAGATGGTGAAATACGCTACTGGAGTATCAATAATGGTAGTTGTGCCCGAGTTTTCAAGGTAATGTACCCAGTGAGTATTTTTCTAGGAAATGATTTTTACCTTCCGAATTATGTGTTTTACTTGGTTAATTTTTCTTCCTATAGGGGGGTACAACACAAATGAGATTTCAACCTCGTTTTGGTAGATATCTGGCTGCAGCTGCAGAGAATATTGTATCAATATTGGATGCTGAGACTCAGGCTTGTCGGCATTCTTTACAGGTTAGTTTTTAGTAGCCACTGTTTCTGTCTTGTTAGAGTACTTGTAAATCGATATGATGCTCCACCTTTTCGAATTTTCCCTGTCAGCAAAGATCAACATTATTTAATACTTTCCATGTGTGCCTTTGGTTGGGTTGTAGCTGCCGTCTTTGCTTGGTTTGAAAACCTTGCATTCTTTTTCCGGAGTTGTGTTATCTCAAAAGGGCATTATGCAGGATCAGTAGTAGCCGACTTGAAGAAATCTTTTATTGTGTTCCCATCCCATATATTGAACTTTGTTCATTTTAGTGATATTATTTTGCCTTACATTTTTGTCTTGGTTTGAAGACTTCGCATTTTTCTCTTGCCTGAGCATCATTATCTCAAAAGGGCGCATTTTAACAGGATCAATGTCTTCTGGCTTGAGGAAGAACTTAAAGTCCCACCCTTGTTTCCAACCATATTATACTCTGTTCATTTTAGTGATATTCTTTTGCTTTGACAACCTACTTTTTCGTTGACTTGTATAGCATTGTTCGCCACAAAAGATGGCTCCCTTTGTTTTTCACCTTGATTACATTTTATTTGTTATCGTTTGACATATATTGCCATGGTCTATTAACTGGTGCGGTGTTCATTTAAATTGTGCAGGGACACACTAAACATGTGGATTCTGTTTGTTGGGATCCTTCGGGTGAATATTTGGCTTCTGTTAGTGAGGACTCGGTCAGAGTTTGGTCACTTGGTTCAGGAAGCGAAGGCGAGTGTGTGCATGAATTGAGCTGCAACGCCAGCAAATTCCACTCATGTGTTTTCCATCCAACCCATTCATCTTTGCTGGTCATTGGCTGTTACCAGGTATGTTTCATGCTTCGGCCATTTTATTCATTACATTAGTTGCACATTTTGGTTTGAAATTCTCACCAACTTTTTGTTGATTTCATCAGAATTCTCATATTTTCTTTTTGAGTGCTGCTACGGGGACCAAAAATATGGGACCAAGGGAGGGGACATGTGAGGTGTCCCCTCCATATTGCATAATGCCAACTCATTATGCAATAGGGAGGGGACACCTCACCTGTCCCCTCCCTTGGTCCCATATTTTGGGTCCTTCAGTCATTTTCCTTTCTTTTTCTATCCTAAAATTCCAATGATCATTGCCTAAAATGGCTATGACTCAATCAATATGGTTAACATGTTTTAAGATACTCAACGTGTGGCTGGAACGGGATCTCTCATGTTTTTTGTGTTAGCATTCATGCGTATAGGACTACAATGTTTATTTAAGAGAATAATGTAAATTTGATTTTAGTTTGCAAAATAGTCTTTTTTGTTCTTTCAAGTACATCAGGCAGAAGTCGGAACTAGCTTTTTATGTAACGCCTGATTGTGCAAATCCAGGTGAGAAGGTAACCTCGTTCGAGGTTCATGGGTTAGGGATATCAGTAGCTAACGCCTCCATAGTACCAAGTGGCCTGAAATTCTCAGAATATGAATGTCTTTTAAATTTGTTATTTTCTAAAGCGTTGTGATTGATTATGATGCAGTCTCTTGAGCTATGGGACATGATGGAGAACAAGACCATGACTCTAACAGCACATGAAGGTTTGATCGCGTCACTTGCAGTTTCGGGTGTCAGCGGATTGGTGGCTTCTGCAAGCCATGATAAATTTGTGAAGCTCTGGAAGTAGTAGCAACTACATACTCTCTAAAACCAAAAGAAGCTAGCAGAAACTAACTCCCATAGGTTTCTTTTGTTTTAGGTCTCGCTCAAGGACTCTTTTGCTATCAATATTTACTTGATCTTCTAACGCGGGAGACTTTGTTGCGTCATATGCATCTAGGCTCTAACATGTATGTTTTTGTTGGTCCTTTTCTTTTTGTTGTTCTTGTTGTCGTCGGTGTATTTGCTACAGTTGAACCTCTCGTTTCCAGTATATGTTGGTTAGTGCAAGCAAGTTTTTTGTATATACTTTTAAGAGATTATAGTTTGCAACTATCTCCATAGTGATCTCTTTGCGGTCCTTCGGTGTTTTCTGCTTCGTGTCTTGATCAAATTGTTCTTGTAGTCGATGGTGCGAGCCAGAACCAAGCTACCTTCCGTGCAAACTGGGGTTTCTTGCACTTTAAGTACGCAATATCCTGACCAAACTGTAGTATTTTTTTGAGTTATTGAAATGATCATAATATTGCCTTTAAATTCTATGTAGTATTCTAAACATAATACGAGAAATTAAAAGTAGATGACTTATATTTCAACTCGGTAGTTAAATAAAGTGGTCCAGAGCATTTTGTCCTTGCAGTTTGAAATTTTAAAAATAAATAAAGATAATGAAGTTCTATGTAGTATTCTAAACATAATACGTGAAATGAAAAGTAGATTACTTAAATTTCAACTTGAAGTTGAATATACTGATTCAGAGCATTTTGTCCTTGTATAGTTTGAAATTTTAAAAATAAATAAAGATAGCGGGGAGTGGGTTTTATTTCAAAATGTAAAATTTAAAATTATAGATAGATAATCAACCTCTCCTTTGTAATCTCTCTCCTTTATTAATATCTTCCTTTATTTATAATATGTTTATCTAAAATAAATCTCATCATACGTGATCAAAACGGTTGGGAGGTTATAATATAGCTTTTACGGTTTTGAGTTTAATTCCAAGCTAGTTAATAAAAAAATCATCTCGCAGAATAATCACATGGATACTTTTTATTCAAATTTTCAGATTAAAAATTAGATAGATTAACTACGAACTTAAATTATGAGATTAATATGAATTAAAGAGGGCATTGAGTTGTTCCTGCAACATGAAGTAATAAAAAAAGGTGCCACAATTAGATGAGATATTAAACCTTCACATATTAATATAACTAGGTAGAATGCATGTACATTGCACGTAGTTAAATATTTTAATTGTGTATTTTAGATTTATTTATTAACTATAATATGGTTGTGAAAAAGTTTATGATTACCGTAATATATTAAATATTTTTGGATATTTTCATGTATAAACCTTGTTGGCTTTAGCATTTTGCTTCGTTTAAAGTCTAAAAATATTAATGATCTAAGAGCAATTTTAATGATTTGAATGACCAATTTCAAAATATTAATTATGTAAGAGACCAATATTGAAAAGACTCTTGTTATTAATGGAAAAAAATAAATTTTTGAATTCATCAAAGTAAAATGATAGATTTTATCTAGTCTTATCGATTTTATTTAGTTATAAAAAAATCATTTCCACATGTTATTTATAGCCAGAGACCGAGTATTATAATAGTTCAAAAGCTTTTTTCTAGCATTCTCTAGGTTAAAATATGCAAATTCAAGAAAGAAAACACAAATTATGTGATCAATTCTAAAACCTAATATTGTAACCCTCCCACATCTTCATAACTAAACTATTTGATTTGTCCAAAATTCTGAAAATGGTTACTCTCTAGTTCAGAAAATTATAAAATATAATCCGAGAACGATTTATACATTTTATGCACTCATATGGATTGTATTTCATCAAAATAGTGTATATCTATCCAATGTCAAACAACATCCTAAAGTTAAGGAGTTAAAGAAACCAATATCCGTAACAATACTCATATCAAAATTATATGATTCATAAACTTATAAGAATGTGAGTAATATAAATTGAATAAGATAATTTATTTTGTCAAATAATTAGTTTCAGGGCATGAAAGGCAAGGAGAATCAGAAAAGATCTCATACCATCTCAAATAAAAAGTAAATTTCTCCTAGATAATCTTTAGAAATAAGAATTTTAAAGTTAATGTAAAGGATAAATCTAAGAACAAATAATCCAAATCAGTCCATTGAATGATAGACTTGATATAAAATCCACTCTTATAAGATCAATATTACATGTACCCTAAATCATGTTTTTTAAGGGTTAATTTTATAAAGCTCTCCCTCAACTATTGGGGGGAGTGGTCAGGATTACCCTGTCAACCATTTTAATTTATGACATCCCCCCAAAGTTTGGATACAGATACTCCATCTCAACTTTAAAACTTTAATTTAACCCCCTTAACTTTTCTCATTTAACACCTTAAGGCTAACACCGTTGAATCTAATCTGTTATGTGACATATATTCCTCAACCATAAAAGAGTGGAATAGTATTAATATTAGTAGATCCAACACTTCTACAACTGTGGTGGATCTATTCAGCAATAATACTGAAGGAAAGGAGGTGGTAGGTTATAAAGTGGATAATATAGCTCGGTTCCCAATCATATGATCAGTTGCTCCTGAATCTATTACCCAAATATGAGACGATGACGATGTAAGACAAGTAGTGAGTTTACCTATCTAAGCAAAGTAGTAGGAGAGGATTGTGTGTTCTTCAATTGCATGCTAAAATAACTAGAGCTAAAATCGTTCAAACTAGAGGCTGGTCTCTTCATCCATGAGACTCTCCTATGTAGCCACATATGCACTCTGAGGTTGATTCCCTTGTAGCTGAGGGCAATAAAAGTTCATGTGACCCGGTTCCTTAAATTAATAACAATAGATAGAGGGACTAAATGAACCCTCCACTACAGCTCCTCGTGAACTATCACCTCGTCCTCCATGTGCTCCGAAGTATCCTCCATGTCTACCAAAGAGGCCTCCACCACGACCACACACTCGACTAGTTGTCTGTCTGCTCTTTATGGCAAGAGCAGATCTACTTGCAGACTCTGCGGCAATACTTGTTGGCGTAGCTGGCACTGCTGATCTCAAAAAGTAATATGTCTATAACAAAGCTCTCAATAACCTATGGCCTTGTTGATTTATAAGACTATGGAAGAGAACCAAGAAAGGTGAATACCATTAGTTGATCATATTGATCTTGCATCTTCTGAATATCCCACATAATAGAAAAAAATATGTCTCAGCTCCTCTACAAGATGATTGAAGTTATCATAATGCTTCTCAAAAGTCTGACTATGCACGTCCATCTTGCTTCGAAATAACTCCCGAATGACATCATATGCCCTATTGGCGTGTCCCCGACTTGAGTACAATTGTTGCAAGAACTTCCACACTTGTTTCACTGTATTATAGTGAATTACTAGTTGAAGGACCCGTGGTTCCATGCTGTTCCAAATTTGATGAAGTAGACTAGTATCTTCTATTTTCAGGAAGCAATAACTGGTATAGGAGGGTCATATATAAGATGATGATCTTTTCCCCGTCCTAAAATATGAACTCAAACCAGTTGCTTCCAAAGTAGATAATTGAACCCATTCAATTTTGGATCAGTGATCTTGCTAGAGAACACCTCCGTGTGGCTCTTCATCTCAACTCTCTCATCAATCGGAAATAGTAGAATTACTTGAGGTCGTCATCAACACAGCAAATAAGATCATTCAACCAGTAATCTCCCGAAAAGTAAACTATCAACCTCACTCAAATAAATTAATTTCTAAAAATCAAATCATCAATAACTAATCAACACAAGTAATTAGTTCAATAAATAAAACCATCCCGCAAAGTTATTTTTTTTCGGTAGAACGACTTATCGCTTATCTCAAATAGATTGTTAACGACTTGTCATAACATAGAGCTAAATGATTTGCTGAAGATATATAAAGATCTAGTTGATAAGCTAAATGATTAGCTGAAGATCTATAAAGATCTAGTTGGTAACCTAAATAATTAGCTAAAAATTTATAAAGATCTAATTGATAAGCTAAATCATTAGTTTATGAACAGTGCCATAGGATGAATAATGCTGATGAACAGTATTAGGGGAATGAACAGTGGCAGCTAGAGTTTAAAAGCGGTAGAAGGTGGCAGCTAGGGTTCAGAAAACTTGAGAAATAAAAAGAGGGTGACTCTGATACCATGTAATTGTGAAAACTCTAGTGAGTTTATTAGCTCCTCCTAAGATGTTATTTATAGTGTTTAAGGAAATAAAGAAGTTTGTCCCTAACCAATTTGGGACTAAACAACAATGAACAACTACTCTCTCAACAGAAACTATAGTCATCTTACTCAAATGATGGACTGGATGTACTTCATAAAAAAAAAAAAAACCACCATACAATTGATCAAGTTTCTAACAAATGTTAAATTTCTTACCCACTTACTTTGTACTGCACAATTAATTTCTATCACAAGCAGGGTGGAAATCTCAGGCTGTTGGAAATTATCAAGTGGAACTGTTAAGGTGCCTGCCCCATGAACTACTACATTACCCTCAAAGCTCAAGATGTTGATACGGGTGATACTGATATCTATCAAGCTTTGGTTTATAAATAGAATTCCTGATGAAGAATCGTACGTATGTGAAAATCTTTAGAAAGAGGCCTAAGAAACATGGCGCTCAAGGTAAAACTATATGCTATATAGTCAAATCGACTCGTGAGAGCATTTCATGATAGATATTTGTTTTTTTCTTTTTAACTTCATTTCCCCCTCGTTGCCGTTGTTCTCGTTGTTTGGTTGATCTTGATAGTGCCATTTGATATATCTCAATTACATAGGTGGATGTTGGTAAAATATGAGATACGACAATCTTACATTTGTTTCATTACCCGTTATTTTTGTTTGCTCGGCTCCCCATCCATTTTCTGCCTTAAAGTCATTTCCTTTTTTACCATGACCTGGTCTCTGGCAAAGAGATGCATGATTGCTTGCAAAGAGTATATGTGTTCACGATTTGATTTCTGAATCAGTAATTTTCTATTTATGATATATTACAGTTTTTTAATTAAAAAAGTTGTCTTCGTTTTCATGTTAAGTTTTATAATTTAATCTAGTTGAATAATTAGGTTCGTGATGCATGCATCATGTGAGCCAATTTTGTGACCTTCGAGTTTTAGAGACGTTTTTAGCTCAATTTTCATGGTTTAAGTTATTTCACCTATTTTAGTAGTCCTTTTCTCTGTGAATTAGTTACAGTTTTATCATTGACCTTGCACTTTGATTTAACGTAGATTTCTATCTTCAGTTTGTAGCTTTTACACTATTTTCAGAGAAATATGCTTTTGATTTAAAAACAAAATATGCATCCTCT